AATTCTATGGCCCTGCCGCGCATTCCAATATCTCCACGTCCTCTTGAAACAGCCGAGGATTCCACTGTAGACAAGCCAGTTGTCGATTCGATAACTTATATTTCTTTAGATTTAGACGGATTTGTGACTACCAAACTTTGGCTGTATGTGGTCCCAGGAAGTACTTATCAGATTATATTAGGGAAAAAGTGGCTAGAAGACCAGGACGCATTAATTGATTCAAAAGAACAACGATTAGAACTTCGTCGATTAGGAGCAATCATTTATAGCGTTAAACGGTGGCGGCAAAACTTAAAAATGGTTTCTCGTCCAAGATCAACACCAATTAATACCATATCAGCCATGCTCAAGCAGGTCCCAGTGTGCAAAGCCTCTCTTGAGGATATAAACAAAGCATTGAGGAATAAAGCATGCCTGTCAGTTGAAGAAGCGAGAAAGCGACTACCTGTACAAGTTAGGGACTTTGCACATTTATTTGCGGACGACAGTGGGGCTCGAGACTTACCACCCTCAAGGGGAGCACTGGATCATGCAATAAATGTTAAAAAGGAAAAAGGAAAACCGATGCAGCCACCATGGGGGCCACTGTACAGCATGTCGCGGGAAGAGCTGCTGGTATTGCGAAAGACCTTGACAGATCTGTTACAAAAGGGCTGGATCCGCCCCAGCAGTTCAGCAGCAGCAGCACCAGTGTTGTTCGCAAAAAAGCCTAATGGCGGCTTGCGTTTCTGTGTAGACTATCGGGGATTAAATGCAATTACAGTTCCTGATAGGTATCCACTGCCATTGTTTAAAGAAACCCTACGCCAGTTATCGAAGGCTAGATGGTTCACTAAACTAGATGTAAAATCGGCGTTCCATAGGTTACGAATAAGGGAAGGTGATGAATGGATGACCGCTTTCCGTTGCCGTTTAGGACTTTTTGAGTGGTTGGTAACCCCATTTGGTCTTGTGAATGCACCGGCTTCTTTTCAGCGTTATATCAATGAGCAGTTACGCGAGCATCTAGATCATGATGCGACTGTTTACATGGACGACATTTTAGCGTATACATCAGATAAAGAGGATGATCATTGGAAAACAGTTCGCAGTATTTTAGGAAAGCTCGATAAAGCTGGTCTTTATCAAGATATTGATAAGTGCGAATTCCTGTGTAAGAAGGTAAAATATTTGGGATATATTGTGCAGGCAGGAGAAATTGTGACGGTAGATCCAGAAAAGGTTAAAGCAATTCTAGAATGGGAGGCACCTACATCTGTGAAGGGCGTCCGATCTTTCCTCGGGTTCGCAAATTTCTATAGGTGCTTCATTGATAAGTTTTCAGATATTGTTGCACCCCTTACTGATTTAACAAAGAAAGATGCGACGTGGGTGTGGGGAAAAGCTGAAAATGAAGCATTTGAGAAACTCAAAAACATATTTGCGACAGAGCCAGTACTAGGACAGTGGGATCCTGAGAAAGAAACAGTGGTGGAAGCAGACTGCTCTGGATATGCATTGGGAGGATGCTTCTCGCAAGTAGACCGGCAAGGTCGATTGCGACCTGTTGCCTATTATTCCAGGCGCTTAACTGGTAGCGAAGCAAACTATCCAATTCACGACAAGGAAATGCTAGCAATTGTTGCATGCTTGCAAGAATGGAAGGCAGAACTCCAATCAGTCATGAAGCAATTTACAATTTTGACTGATCACAAAAACTTGAACTATTTCATGAGTAAACGTCTCCTTAACGAGCGGCAAGTTAGGTACAGTGACATCCTGCAACAATTTAATTTTTCTCTCAAATGGCGACCTGGTAATACATGCGAGCGCCCAGATGCTTTATCGCGACGAGATCAGGACAAGCCGAAAGGATTGAATGACGAACGCCATGTTGGAAGGATCATGCAGTTACTGCCATCAGTTATGCATGCATCACTAAATACACAAGCAATTGAAACCTGCTCTAGCTCTATTGAGGTAACTAGACGCGCTCAAGATGTTGAACTGATACCTAGTAGTGACTCTGCTATTCCAGCGAGGATTTTTGACGAAGACAAGCTGCAGAGATTATGGGAAAAAGGGATTGCCAATGACAAAGACTGGCAACGAGCTCGCGATGCTGTCAAAGCTGGAGAAAGAAGTTTTCCACCTGACCTTGCACTAAAATGGAATGCTAACATTGCTGAATGTACAGTTGCAGCAGACAATATTCTACGAGGTCGGGAAAATCGAGTCTGGGTGCCGGATTATGAGCCACTTATAACAGCCATAATGCAAGTTACGCACGACAGTCATTTAGTAGGCCATCCGGGTAAAGACACTATGGTTGGGATACTTTTACGCAGGTGGTTCTGGCCGAAGATGAGAGAATCTGTGCGCAGATTTATAAGGAACTGTGATGTCTGCGGAAGAACAACGGTGTGGAGGGAAGCGAAGGCAGGATTTTTACGATCGCTACCAATTCCTGAGAGAATCGGCAGCGAGCTCACAATCGATTTTGTAACTGATCTCCCACCTTCGCAAGGTTGCACGAACGTAATGGTAATCACAGACCGCCTCAGCAAGGACGTTCTTTTGTTCGGAACAAAGTCAATGGAAGCGGTTCAATGCGCAAAGATCTTTATAGACTGCTACTACCGATACTATGGGTTCCCAAAATATCTCACAAGCGACAGAGGTAGTGATTGGCTAAGTCATTTCTGGAAAACATTTTGCCGGCTGACTGGAATTAACCAACGCTTGACAACAGCCTACCATCCTCAGTCTAATGAAAGCGAGAGGGCAAATCAAGAAATGTATAAGTATCTACGGGCGTTCTCTTGCTACGCGCAAAGCGACTGGAAAGAACTATTACCTATGGCACAGCTGGCATTAAATTCTCGACCTAACTCAGCGATTGGAGGTATGAGTCCGTTCTTTCTTAGACACGGATACCACTTGGACCCTATTGCAGAACCGATACCACACCAAAATGACACTTCCAGGCATGCAGGTCAGCTTTGTGCTCGTAAATACGTAGAAAGACTAAGAAATGCACAAGAATTCGCACAAGTATCAATGGCATCAGCACAACAGCGAAATGAGAGCAATGCCAATCGTTTAAGGCGACAACCTGAAAGGTTCAAAGTTGGTGACAAGGTCTGGTTAGACCTACGTAATGTCAAGACACCTCAACTTTCAAAGAAGCTTGCGTGGCTTCACGCTAAGTACGAAGTTACAGCAGTTCCAGATGCGCTTACGGTAGAACTAAATGTTCCGGGGAATATTCACAAACGCTTTCATGTTGAGCTCATAAAGCGGGCGGGAGATGACCCCTTCCCAAGTCAGACACGAGATGATCCCCAAAACCCACCTATAATTGACAACTTAGGGGAGCAGGAGTACGAAGTCGAAGCAATCCTGAGGGCTCGAAACATACGACGCGGACGAGGTAGCTACCGTCAAGCATTAGTCAAGTGGACTGGCTGGGCTGATCCTTCTTGGGAGCCTGTTGAGTATATTAAGGATACAATGGCACTAGAAAGATTTGAAGAACTTTACGGTCCGATAGACGCAAATGATGGTCCCAGTGATACAGAGTCTGGAGCTTACGTAGGTCCTCCTGAAAAGAAAACCCTTGAATCTCGCCGACGAAGACGGCGTGTCAAGTAGTGAAAAGTAAGGAGGGGGGTTGTAACGGCTGGTAAGCCGATTGGTTCCTGTAGCGCATGTTGGCCAACATGAGCCTAGCCTGATATTGGTAGCGCACGATTGATCGACATCAATGTGTGGATATATGATGCCACTCAACAGAATATCAAGGCATCGGCATCTAGTTCGGCAGGGCAGCAGTATTGGACCATACAGCTACAACACATGTAAAGAATCCCATTGGAACCGAGAGGGAGGGACTGTGCCTCAACCACATAGACAATGTATATATAAGTATAGATAGAGACTGAAGTAGTTTTCTCTTCAGAATGATAATTTACATACTATCAACCACATAGTTGCACCAGCGCCTGTTCCTTGATCCGTGACAGTTGTTCCATGAAGGAGATTACCCAGAGGACCATGTCAGGTGGCCAGCCCTGATTTTGTAAACAAAGTGAGAGACACCCTTTTGGGATGCTATTAAGGGCTCCTTGCACGTCTACCGTTATGATTCCTGCTACTTTCTTTTCATCCCAGGCTGTTTGTATATCGCACGCTAGAGCTGTGGTGGGGTCTGTGGAGGAGCAGCGAGGTTTGTTTGTTTTCTATTTTTTGTCTGTCGAAGCCCCAAGCCTAGCTTAGGTCCCTACTACCCACTAAACTACCTAGAGGCATGGATGCCAGTGCTTACTGCCCTGGTGGCTTCGCCCTTGCTACTTCCTAGCTAGGTTTGCAGGGCAATTCTCTTATCACATGATTGCGTATAGCGTAGTACCTGCACTTTTACAGCCAGTCCCCAAGGCTCATTACTCCTTTGATGTATTACCGGCCCTCTCGGGATGCTACTAGTTGATCCATTTAGAAATACCTGTTGCGCTACGGTTATTTTAGGTTTACCTGAATTTACTCATAACATGACTCGGGTCGGAGAAGTTAATGCTGATACGTGATGCGTATCAAGGAAAATATCTTTTTGTTCGGATTTTACATAACTCATACTTTGAATTGGGTTTACATTTATGTTTCCGATGATATTCTCATCTTATCTGTCCAGAGCACGGTTTGGTATTTTTCGGTGGTAGCATTATTGCCAGCGAGTTATCTAGTAGGGTTTCATATGAGGAAAATTATGTACTTTAGATACTCAATAGCCAGAGAATAGAGGGACGACCCTTCGATGATTTGTTACCTTCTACTCCCATTTCCAAAATAGTCCAACAGTTATGAGCCCGGCGCTCTACATTGATTAAATCTACTTATCTGAGAAAATCATACGTCGTAGACGCTGGAATTATATTGTCTATTTAAGAACTCGACAACAGCACTTACCGAAAAGATATCGATCGACTCAATCTAGAAATACTGAAAGTATAGCCTAATATAAAATGACAGCCAACATGGGAAATTTCTCAGCCATGCTACGAAGTAGTGAAGACTGGGAAGCATTTTGGTTTGCATTGGAAGGAATGGCTGGATCGAGCGAGAATTCCGTCTTCAAGTTTGTTGATGTGTACGATAAAGCTAATTTGCTGAGTGCCCCAGAACTCCCAAAGATACCCGAGGCACCTGAGTTACCACGACGCCCCGTGGTTACGGAGTCAGTGAACGATTCTCAAGCAAATCAGCTACACACATTATTGCTTACGGAACATCGATATCGACACGCTGCATATGTTGATGAAAAAACAAGAGTTTCGAAACAATGGGAGAGATATGATGCACTTAGCGGATGGGTTCGGCAACATGTTCATCCCGATAACTATGTTTACATGAGGAATGAGAAAACTCTGTTCAGACAACTTCTGGCATTAAAAAGCCAATTTGCACCCACTGATCGTGCAAGAGAGTTGCTAATTACCCGAACTTATAACGAAGCTAGGACATATCGGGACAATCAGCCCGTGATAAGGTGGCTAGAAGCATATCAGCAAGCGTATGAAAAAGCTAGGGAGATCAATATACCAGAGACAACTGGATATCAAGCTCATTATGATTTTATATATGCCATCAAAGTCATTGACGGAGAATACTCTAAATATCTTTCGATACAACTTGAAAAGAAAAGGAAAAAAGATAAAGTTCCTTCTTTGGCTGAAATAATCGAGGATTTTCGGAACCATCAAAGACAAGAGGAGGCATCGATGGAATTCGAACGGGACACACGTCAGGAAATTCAGGGTCAAGGAAGGTTGGTAGCAGCAAATTTCAAAGACACCGGAACTGAAAGTGAGAATAAAACAAACTTTGATGACAAGAAGTGTTTGTGTGGAAGTACACATGCTTGGGCTAAATGTTTTTATCTCAACCCATCATTGAGAACGAGTACATGGAAGGGAAAGAGAGATGTGTTTGATAAAATAAACAAACAACTAAAGCACCCTAAATTAAGATGGGTCAAAAAGAAGTATGGATATGACAATATCAACGGAGAAAACATGACTGATACTGGAAAAGCTTGCGATTCAGCATCAAAATCTTTCGGAGCTGACACAAGCAGACCATCTTTTCAAAAGGCGGCAGCTATTTTGACTAGACAACAGTTGGTTTCTTCAATTGATGAGAAATCAGCGACAAAAGAAAAAGATAAAGTGCGGTACGCATTTTCAAATGGTATCAATGAAGAGCAACCGGCAGACGACAGTTTTCATTTATTTAAAAAGTGGATAATCGACAATGGAGCCGACACTCATGTCACCAACTCGGATATTGATTTAGAGGAAACGCGAATTGCTAACGCAGGAGAGCTCTTATACGCTGGAAGAGGCGCGTATCCTATAAAGAGTTATGGAAATGTTAGATTGCAATTGAAGTCCAATATCGCAGGCGAATATTTGTTGCTGAAGGAGGTCGCATATGTACCGGGATTTATGACCAATTGTGTTTCGCTTGATAGGTTAACCAAGGCAGATATCCACTGGAGCAGTAAAAATCCATCTATACTAGAGAGGGATGGTGATCCGACGCCATTCTGCCATCTTTACCAAATGGGATCACATTGGGTCTTCGAGGAACCGTATCCAAACTCTGCACTGGTTAGCAACACGAAAAGGACCAGTGTGAAAAAACGCACTAACAGGATAACCGCAGCCAAGGCGCACATGATAATGGGGCACGCTGGCCATGATACAATAAGCAGACTTCAAGAAAATTGCGAAGGGATTGAAATTGACTTTGCAACGCCGTGTCCACGGGTGGCAGAATGCACGACTTGTGCATGTGCGAAGGCGCATGAGATCGTATCACGACGATCAGATGTTGAGTTTCCGTCACCCTCAGGTGCCAATTTTTACCGCACGAACCAGGATATTATACCATTCGAACTGTTACAGGCTGCGCCTATCTCCTAGTGACTGTCGCACGGACACTTATCATTATTACGTCATTAGCCTTGCTATCTAGAGAGATGTCCAACTTGGCCATACAAATACAGGGTTGCAACAAATATGGAAACAAGATATTGTTGCAGCAAGTCTCATATGGAATCATGGGCCGATACGACCCAGATTCGCTATGACGAGCCCACTCGGAATATCAAGGATATGATGTAGTAGAATAGATAGTGAGGTTAGCGCATTGGGAGTTGGGACACCTTAAGTAGCATCCCCTCGGTGGACAGTTCCGAGATGTATGTAGAAAATAGACAGTAATCGGCCACCATTCCTTTACTATATTGTTTTGTTGATCGCCGATCACATATTTTCTACATCATCCTAACATTGTAGTTTATCCCATTAAACAACAAAATTTCCGGTCAACCAAAGACTAGAAGAGAAGATCAAATCTTCTATGAGCTACCGAATCCCAAGTATAGATATCGATACCGATTCGACTGACAACGCTTCCTTTCATTCCAGGGCAAGTGAAACTATGTCGGAACAAGCTAACGTCAGCGGTGCCCATTACGGCCAACCGCAAAATACGGTTCATGAGCAACTAGGCGAACCCTCAGAGTTCGAAGAGCAACAGAGCCGATCTCCTCACCAAGCTGGGGACATTCCATCATTTAATCCGTCGTCACCTCAATATCAGGCGCTATATAATCAAATTATAGCAGATATCTCTCGCCGTCAACCCCTATTGAATGCGCAAAATTTTCCACACGCAACATCAACTCAGCCACAGTACAAAAAGCCCAGCAAGTGGCCTTCGTGGGACGGCTCAATCACTACTCTATCATCTCATATTTATCAGCTAATTGTTAAAGTCGAAGAAGATAAACGTCAGCTAGGGTCGGATCGCGCTATATGTCTAGGGATCCTGAATTCCATACCAGTAGATAAACAATCCAGAGTGAGTCACTGGTTTGAGACAGGAGGCCCTTCAGGAATGCACAACTGGAAAGATTTTGTCGAACATATCAAGCTTGAATTCGAGGATAAACAAGCCCGACAGACTGCAGGAGATCTACTTTATCGGATGCGTATGGGTTCCAATCAATACTTCTGCGACTTCTTTCAAGATTTTCAGGTTAAGCTTGCACAATGCGGGGGAACTAATTGGCCTGACAGCAGCAAGATCATGAAACTTAATTCAAGTATTAACGAATCGCTGAGTGACCATCTGGTATCCAAAGATCTACCTGATGATGATTTCGAAACATGGGTTTCTATGGTCAAAAGAGTAGCGGGACGACTCGAAAATCGACCATCTTATCGACCAACAGGCTGCACTGGCAAGAAAACTTGGTATTTGTCTCATAAGCAATCCAAGTACCATTCCAGCACAACTGACCGATATCTTCACGTACCAGACCTTGACGATGAAGGAGATACCAAGATGGGGGGAGTTAATGCTATTGAGGCTCTCAAACTAGCGCTAAACTCCCTAAATAGTCGAAACATTACCAACAAGCCCAGGGCTAAATGGCGTTCCCCGGAGGAATTTAAAAGTTTGTGTAGCGAGGGAAGATGCGTCCGGTGTCGAGAAAAAGGTCATTTATCTCGCGCATGCACTAAATTCGGTCCAGCTCAAAATCTCGCTTCAAGGATCGCCTATGTAAAAGGCCCCACGAAGATAAGGAAACAGAGCCACACAGAAGAAAAGGTCAGCTATGAAGAGTTGGAGACCAGTGAGGTTTCGGGGGAAGAGTAAGCTCTGAGCAACGTCGCGCTCAGAGCAAGGGAGAATCATTTTCCATTGATTTAGTTAAAAAACAGATAAATTGAACAGTACTCCATTTTTAATAGATTGTCTGTTAAACTCAAGTTTCTTTGTGCAATCTTTGATTGACACAGGCTGTCTCTGTTATGCTGCATTTTCTAATGAGATCGTGAAGAAATGGGAACTTCCGCGCATAAAAATACCAAAAAGATCCTTGCAACTAGCAGAAAATGATGGGAAGCAAAGAACAATAAACGAATTGACTTTTGCAGACTTCGATATTGACGGTAGACGAGAAAAGGTCTATGGATATATTATCCAAGACCTTTCCTACGATATTATCCTGGGAAAACCATGGATGGAACAAAATGATGTCGTCTATCTTGCAAAGAAGCGAGTGATTCGATTTGGTTCTCAGAAGTACGGACAGGTTGTCAGAGAAAAGGGTTGGTATAATAACATGGCCTCATTGAAGTTAAAAAAAGAAATACACCATGTTGCTACAGCTAAAAAAGTATTGGGTGGCAAATTTATTTCACTAATGAAGCTTGCTAAGGTGGAAACAGGATCAAAGATTTTCGCCATTACAATGCAAGATCTTAACAAGGCTCTGGAGATAAAAAGCGAAGAAACATCAGAGGAAATAAGAAGGACACTTCCTCCTTCCATAAAACATTGGTCCAATCTCTTTGTCGAAGACAGACAAAGTAAATTACCCCCACATCGACATTCCGATATGAAAATCGATTTAGAAAGAGACGAACAAGGTAGAGAAAAATCTATACCTTGGGGCCCACTTTATGGAATGTCAAGAGATGAACTCCTAGTTTTAAGGAAAACGCTAAATGATCATCTCGATAAAGGATGGATCAGAGCCAGCAGCTCGCCAGGAGGAGCACCAGTGCTCTTTGTTAAAAAGCCAAATGGGGGTTTGAGATTCTGTGTAGACTACAGAGCCTTGAACGCAATCACAGGAAAAGATCGGTACCCACTACCACTGATAAGAGAAACTCTGAGATCAATATCAAAATCGACATGGATGACCAAAGTTGATGTTCGCGCTGCATTCCACAAACTTCGAGTTAGGAAGGGGGACGAAAAAAAACTGCTTTTCGGACAAGGTTTGGCTCCTTTGAATGGCTAGTCACTCCCTTTGGGCTACAAGGAGCTCCAGCTGCATTTCAGCGGTACGTAAATGAATCCTTGGGAGATTATCTTGACCAGTATTGCACTGCGTATCTTGATGATATTCTTATCTACACTTCCGGAGATCTCCAAGATCATTGGGTTAAGGTTGAATCTGTGTTCAAACGTCTAGACATAGCCGGCTTAAAACTGGACCCAAATAAATGCGATTTTGCAGTGAAGAAAACAAAGTATTTGGGATTTGTTATAAGCGCTGGTGAAGGAATTAAAGTCGATCCTGAAAAAGTTAAAGCCATAAAATCATGGGAAATTCCGACAACCGGAAAAGGAGTTCGAAGCTTTCTAGGTTTCGCAAATTTTTACCGTGAATTTATCCCCAACTTCAGCGAAATTGCACAGCCTCTTATCAACTTAACGAAAAAAGATCACGCTTTCCTGTGGCTTAAAGAGCACCAAACATCGTTCGATGTTCTGAAAAAGCTATTCATTACGGCCCCAGTACTAGCTCTCTATGATCCGGATAGGAAGACAATTGTAGAAGCGGACTGCTCGGGATATGTTATGGGGGCGTGCTTGTCGCAATACGATGATGCAAAAGTTCTACGCCCAGTAGCATACCTTTCAAAAAAATTAAGCCCCGCAGAATGCAACTACGAGATTTATGACAAAGAATTGCTTGCGGTTGTCTTGGCTTTAAAAGAATGGAGAGGCGAGTTGATGGGCCTCAAGCATGCATTCGTAATTTTTTCAGACCACAAAAATTTGGAGTATTTTATGACCACAAGAAAATTGTCCGAGCGTCAAGTTCGATGGAGCCATACTCTCTCCCAGTTTAATTTTAAGCTAAAATTTAGAACAGGAAAGAATTCGCTGAGACCAGACGCACTTTCACGCAGGGAACAAGATATGCCGAGCTGTGCAAGCGACGAGCGGCTGAGGAGTCGCCAAGTACAATTAATCAAAGATGCATGGATGAAAACAGATACCGACTCTAACAAGTTGGTAACCTCTCAAATCACCTCAGCTTCAGTCTACCTAAATATCCCTTCAGAATCTGGCACTGAGATACAGTTGCCCGATGGCAATTGTATCTTTCAAAAAGAAGAACTTCAGATACTTTGGAATAGAGGTTGCGAAGAGGACAAAGGCATAAGAACCATGTACAAAGCTCTGCGAGATGGTGAGCGGGCCTTCCCGACAGAACTTAAGCTGAAAGTATCAATCTCAGAATGCGATTTTGATGAGAGAGGCGTCCTTAGATTTCGTCGTCGTATATGGGTACCAGACTGGGAACCCCTACAGACAGCTCTGATACAAAATACGCACGACTCGTATATAACGGGACACCCAGGTCGTGATAGTACATATGCTATCTTATCAAGGAGTTTTTTTTGGCCAGGGGCATCGACGATGGTAAGAACTTTCTGTAAAAATTGCGATGTTTGTGGACGATCTCACGTATGGCGAGAAAAGAAAAAAGGATTGCTCCTACCGCTACCGATACCTAGTCGTTTCCATTCAGAATTGTCAATCGACTTTATGACGGATCTGCCAGCAAAATCTAGACAAGATTCTCGATATCTCATGGTGATTACAGACCGACTATTGAAAAGTTGCACCCTTGAAGCTATGAGCTCAATGTCAGCAGAATGCTGTGCTGAGCGGTTTTTACACTGTCACTATCGTTTTCATGGATTTCCATTATTTTTAACTTCTGATCGTGGTTCAAATTGGGTTGGAAATTTCTGGACCCATCTATGTAAGTTAGTAGGTATAGAGCAGCGTCTTTCCACGGCGTTTCATCCTGAAACGGATGGAAGTACAGAGAGGATGAATCAGGAAGTGTTGGCATACCTTAGATCTTTTATATCCTACGCTCAGTACGAATGGCCTGATATGCTTCCGTCAGCTATGCTAGCTCTTAATAATAGAGACACAGTCATCGGTCTTAGTCCTTTTTTCCTCACACACGGTTATCACGCAGAACCTATCGAACAAATCCCGCCCCCTTCCAAAAATTCCGATGCACCTGAAAAGAAAGCCAGGGAATTTGTACAGCGAATAACAGATGGACAGGAATATGCACAAGCTTCCATGGCATTTGTCCAACAACGAATGGAATCAGCATCTAATCAAAAGAGGCTTCCGCAAGAGAGGTTTGAAGAGGGAGACCTTGTTTGGTTAAAACTAAAAAATATTGAGACGCCACAACTTAGTAAAAAGCTCTCATGGGTTAACGCAAAATATCGCGTCCTCAAAGTTATATCCCCTCATGTAGTCGAACTTAATGTCCCATCGGGTATACATCCGAGATTTCACGTCGATTTGTTAAAACGAGATCCACAAAACCCCCTTCCGTCTCAAATTATGTTAGACGAGCAACCACCGCCGCTTGTGAATCCTGATGGTGACAATGAGCAATTCGTTGAAAAGATTCTCAGAGCCGAAAAGAGAAAGAAAGGTCGGGGCTTCCGAAGGGAGGTGTTGGTAAAGTGGAGAGGTTTTCAAGAGCCAAACTGGGAATTGCGCCAAGGTCTCGAAGACACGGAGGCTCTTGATATCTTTGAAGAAAGGTACGGTGTTGGTGATGACGTGGGAGAAGATGTTGGGGCAAGAATAGGTGTTACTGGCAAAAGGCAAAAAATTTTTACACCTGAAAAAAAGAAACGAGTAAAAAAAAAAGAAAAAGAAAAAAGTACTGTGAGGAGGGGATAATGTTACAGGCTGCGCCTATCTCCTAGTGACTGTCGCACGGACACTTATCATTATTACGTCATTAGCCTTGCTATCTAGAGAGATGTCCAACTTGGCCATACAAATACAGGGTTGCAACAAATATGGAAACAAGATATTGTTGCAGCAAGTCTCATATGGAATCATGGGCCGATACGACCCAGATTCGCTATGACGAGCCCACTCGGAATATCAAGGATATGATGTAGTAGAATAGATAGTGAGGTTAGCGCATTGGGAGTTGGGACACCTTAAGTAGCATCCCCTCGGTGGACAGTTCCGAGATGTATGTAGAAAATAGACAGTAATCGGCCACCATTCCTTTACTATATTGTTTTGTTGATCGCCCATCACACGAACCAAGCTATAATGGACACAACTATGCCACCCATACACAATGCGACACATCAAGATATGCCATACTGGATACCCATAAAGGTAAAGCGGCAGCCTGCCAAACAAGTATTAATCATATTAAGAGGGCAGAAAATCAGTTTGACGTGCGCGTAAGAATAGTTAAAACGGATGGCGAGGCCGTCTTTAACAGTAAGGAATGGGTAGAGTTCGCTGCTGGTAAAGGAATCGTGCGAGAAATGACAGCACCGGACACTTCAGAACAAAATGGAAAGTCTGAGGCCGCAGGAAAGTGGATAGTGGTGATCAGTCGGTCCATGTTGCTAGCATCTGGGCTGCCGAATTCTATTTTTTCGGAAGCGTTGAAATGTGGCACATATATATATAATCGACTACCTCGAAAATTTCTTGCTTGGAAGTCTCCGTTCGAGTTGGTCACTGGGCGGAAACCAGATCTCAGTCATATGCATCCTTTCGGCTGTAGAGTGTATGTGTTCCAGCATAACATACCTCGACTAAAAAAGATGCAACCTAGGGCTTTAATCGGATACTTGGTTGGCTATGACTCGAGAAATATTTATCGAGTATGGATGCCAAGCAAAGAAAAAGTGATCCGGACGCGGGACGTTGTGTTCAACGACGATCTATTTTATAATCCTAGCGAGATGGAAATTGGAGTGCTTGAGGACGATGAGACGGTTGATTTTCTGAGAAGACTAGAGTTGCCATGGAATAGTGGTATTGGAGGCGACGAAAGCCTTTATGAGTCTGAACTGGTACTTGAGACTGAAGATACTGAGTTGGGGTTGGATACTAATTCTGAAGATGAACACGAAACAGAAAAAAAAAATGGTGGGCTGTATGCCTCAGGCCACAACAATTCTTACATTGTGTTACCGACACCCTCCCCTTCGCCACCGAGAGAGGAAGCATACATCGAGAAAGGAAAGCATCAGGTTTCGATTGAAGATCCTTTTAGAAAACTAAATCCTGTTCAAAATTCACTTCCCAAAGCATGTTCGGAAACACAGAACCAACCACAGATTCCTACAGTGGGTCTGGGGGTGGGAAGTTTCGAGGTAGACAGTAGCAACATACTCGAAGGAAAGAGACAGCGAAAGAAAAGAATAGTTCAATGTTTGGTTAGAAACAATCAAAATCCTTCGTTCCATATGGCATTCGCGGCATCTAGGAGTATGGTTAAGTCTGTGGGATTGCATGTTTCTGAGCTACCCCCACCACCTCGAAACTATAAGGAAATGCTTAAGCATGAATACATGGCTGGATTTAGGGCTGCACAATTGAAAGAGCTAGAAAAGCTAATTGAGATGGAGGCTGTGCAGTTTGTACGAAAAAGTGAGCTAGGTGATTGTCGAGTGGAACAAGTTAATGCACCATTACCCTTAATGTGGGTATTTACCTATAAATTAGATCCTGACGGATATTTAATTTCGTTTAAGGCTCGAATAGTTGCCAGAGGGGATCTACAAACGACAGAAGAAGATACTTACGCAGCTACAGCAACAGCATATGCGACTCGAGCAATTGCATCAATTATAGGAGCTCATGGATTGAGAGCCCTTCAATATGACGCAATTAATGCTTATGGTAACTCAAGGAAGGAAATACCATTATATACAAAGTGTCCACCAGGATTTGAACACCGTGGAGATGGCCTTTTGGTTTTCTTCGGCATGTATGGATTAAAACCTTCGGCACTCGATTGGTATAAAACATACAAGAGTGCAGCACTCGAGATAGGGCTGTCAATCGTGCCCGGCTCCCCGAGTATATTTCAAAATAGCTGGCTAATCATGATTGTATATGTAGATGACATATTGATAGCATATCACCCCAGGCATGATGATAAATTCAGAGCTTTTGAAACTAAATTTTTGCAGATGTTTGAATTTAGGAAGCTTGGAAACGTTGAAAATTTCATCGGAGTACGTTTTGAGAGGGATGAAGCTGAAAAGAAACTGTGGCTGGTACAGGATTCATTTATTTCCAAGCTTGAAGAGAAATTTAAAATCAACATACATGCAAAACATAGAACACCACTACCATCTAATCCACTACAACCATATGATGGTATAGCCTCACCCTCACAAATACACCAATATCAACAGAAGGCTGGGAGTGTGAACTGGCTCGCGGTGCTCACACGGCCTGATATTTCTTGGAGCGTTTCGGAACTGAGCAAGTACTTGCAAAACCCTGGACCGCAGCATCTTGACGCAGTTAATCACTTGCTGGAATACTTATCGGGAACAAAATATTTAGCACTTGAATATGATGGTAATACTCCACCAAACCTCTGCATGGGATATTCTGACGCTTCTTTTGCCGATGAAATCCCATCACGACATAGCTCACACGGATATGCGTTCTCATTATACGGAGGATTGATAACTTGGAAAGCGCAAAAACAGCGAACAGTTACAACTTCAACTACAGAATCAGAACTTTTGGCATTGTCCCAAGCTGGTAGAGAGGTTATATGGTGGGAGCGTTTTTTCAAGGATATAGGGTTCGCTCTGGACGAAGAAATTACCCTTTATTGTGATAATCGACAAGCTTTACGTGTGGTAACGAGTGAAGTTTCTAAACTGGATACAAAGCTACGGCACGTTGATATTCATCAGATGTGGTTACGACAAGAAGTCCAGAATGGCCGGATTAAAGTGGAGTGGATTGGAACTGATCGCATGATAGCTGATGGTTTTACCAAAGCACTCAGCCATTCGAAGCACGCCCGCTTTGTCGAAATGATTGGATTACGGGAAATCAGCACTCGACTAACACATAAGAGCGCTTAATCTTGATTTCCATAAATTGAAATTATACTGTATATTCAGCTTTATCACGGAGTTTAAAAGCTGAGGGGGTGTGTTGCGCTACGGTTATTTTAGGTTTACCTGAATTTACTCATAACATGACTCGGGTCGGAGAAGTTAATGCTGATACGTGATGCGTATCAAGGAAAATATCTTTTTGTTCGGATTTTACATAACTCATACTTTGAATTGGGTTTACATTTATGTTTCCGATGATATTCTCATCTTATCTGTCCAGAGCACGGTTTGGTATTTTTCGGTGGTAGCATTATTGCCAGCGAGTTATCTAGTAGGGTTTCATATGAGGAAAATTATGTACTTTAGATACTCAATAGCCAGAGAATAGAGGGACGACCCTTCGATGATTTGTTACCTTCTACTCCCATTTCCAAAATAGTCCAACAATACCGCACCATCCATCCATAACGCAGGTGTGACAGAAACCGAGTTGGTTGTGAATAAACCAATTTATTAAACTACATGAGAAGAAAATAGAACTCTAGCTACAACTAACAGGTATTTATAGGAATTGGTCCCCTTCGTCAATCTCCAGACTGATGACTTATCCTTAGGCACAATACTTGCTACCCAGCCACGCATTACCAGTTGTTACTTAGTTGTGGTAACGCTTCGACCTCCTGACTAGTAGTGCCGCCTTGTCCAGCTTCATCTATCCCCCCCATGCAGCTTTGTTGTAAATATTCCCAATAATCCGCTTAGGCATTCACCTAAGCTCAAACAACGGTCAAACCGTAACAGCAAGGCTCAAAGTTGAGGCAGAGTTTAAGACCTATTTAGTTCTTCACTGGAATTTCTAGGGGAGGTCTTTATGTAAAACTCTGAAAGATAAAGCCAACTTGCTACACGTAGGACCCCTTCCCAGGTTCCTAGCAAAATTTTCTTTGGGTCCCTTGAAGATGCTGGAGCTCGCGGGGGTCTATGAGTGGTTAGGTGGCACTCTACGAAGTGCAGTGGGGCCTTGAGCTGTCCGCAGCCACAATGAAGGTTAGCGCCCTCGTGATTCAAACGGCGGTGGTATTCTGCAAAGTCACCATATCCTGAGCGGGCAGCGTATAGTCTAGAGAGAAACGGTCTGGCTAGAGACAGTTCCTTAGGGTGACGAGAGTACGAGTCTATGGCAAGCTCCCTATAGGATACTAGGGCATGTCGGTCCCAGCAGTCTTTCAAAGCCGTCGATACTTCTGCTTTGATGCGATTTTTCGCGGTATCAAAAGAAACGTACCCATGAGATATAGGCGGTAGTTTTGAAAGCCCCTCTCGAGTAGAAGCGTCGGCCAAAACGTTACCCAATATACCATAGTGGCTTGGGATCCAATAAGCCTTGACTTTCCCGGGAGGGGTGTGTTAGAGCCGGGTGCGGAGAGGCCAGTCTTGGGAGAGGCCAGTCTTGGGAGAGGGCTTGTATTTGTTGAAAAACAACTTGCGACGAGCAAATTTGGAACTGAAATAATAGGCGAGCTACCTTCAGATTGTCTGTGAGTATCCAAATATTTTATGAAGCGTGCTGTTGGTAGGGATAGCGCAGCTTTGAGGGCTTCTTTCACGGCGGTCACTTCTGTGTCGAAAGGAGACAGCGTCGAGTCAAGGGACAGACTCTCACGGTAAACCATCTGGCCAGCTTGAAATGTAACAATTCCACCGCCTGTCCTGGGCGATTCTGCTATCTCAGATTGAGCGCCATCTGTATAGACTGCTAGATCTCTGAAAGGGATGCCAGAAGGGAGATAAATGGGAGAGCACGTAACTCGCCTTACACTGTTATACCGTATCTCACTTTTCAGCCATGGCGGCTGAATCAGAGGATCGATCGTTTCAGTGTTCGGAATTTGGAGTACCCAGCCCGCAAGACGGGAGACTCGTCGATTGTGTGCCCGGATCCATATGACTCTTTGCCGGAGTGGGTGTCTAGGGTCCAGGCGTTGGATGCGCAATGCCGCGAATTTTGATCTAGAGTCCAGCTGTAAATCAGGAGGGAGGAGACCTGATTCACGGTACAGAATAGGGATTGGCGTAGTCCAATATACAGGTAGGCTAGCTCTGGCCCCCGTTAGAATAACTTTACGGAGGGTGTGTCAGGTTTTGGTATTTTGAAATTGATTTCATTATCCTGATTTGGCGCCCTGTGGTCCCATGCAGGTGTCTATCATACTTTCTAATTTACATGAGAGGAAACCTTTTGGTGAAAACCCCCAAACCTTCCTGCTTAGCTTCTATTTTTTTATAAAGTATCCTTTAGGAAGCGCAGTTACACAGTAGTGCCCTCCATATAGCCCAATCACATCAGATTTATCGACCTCAAGAAAGGCATGACCTGTTCCTTTCCCTCAGCAGCATCTCGACCGCCTTTGTCATCTGGAATTGCTCTTTCCAACCATGATTTAGGATCCACTGTGTTATCCTTTAGATATCTCCAGGATTGCTTAGCATAGCTTCGTAGGACCGATCTTTCGCTTGTCTCCAGATCTCTCCTCTTCTATTTGACCATCGAGGGCAGGACATAATCATGTGCTTGGGGTCCTGCGATTGGTAGCTACATGGACAGCTTGGACTGTAGACTCCGGGTACTTTTCTTCTGTATAAATACGAGTTGAGCCCCATGTGCTCACTTCGTATTTGAATCGCTAGACTGCTTTGGGCCCTTGTCAGGTTTCGGTGGAGTAGGAGTGGCGATTCCTGGAGACTTATTTTCCATCGATCCAACTTTCGGTTCTGATAGAACTTGACTGCTCTCCAGGTTTGGGGGTCGGCGATCGCTTTATGTCGAGGTAGTTGGAGCCGCTCAGGTTATGTTATTATTAACTTTATCCTATAACTAATGCGTCATGGAGGTATATATTATGTGATTTAAGCGAAACTCCGACTTCTTATCAAATGGTTGAACTGCTGAACCATTTATCCTACCTTCGCTTTCACTCTCAGGTTCACGTTCAAATAATCCACCATTGTACATCACTTTTTTTTACGCGATGGATGAAATCGAACAATTCTACAAGTACGCATCTCGAAACCCTCTCCAATAAATACTAGATCAGTATAGAGGTAACCCTAATTTTCAAGCTGGATACATGCGAGGTAAACCCTTATGGCGTAAAAACAAAGAAAAAAGCTAACCATAAAGAAATCGATCCATTACTTCAAGACCTCCGAATTTACGTCACAAGATTCCTTCGATCCACAGAAAACAACGCCGTTACAATTTTTAGCACCAATATACTCCATCTCCTAACTAAGATATTGAACGGTGAAGTTTCTATCTTGGAATTTGCACAACTGATCTACTTGATCAATTTTGAAAGCGATCGTCAAATTTGGTCCTATGTCATTCTAATTGCCGACCTACTCACCCAGATAGCTCCTCCAATACTTCCAGACTTACAAATCCCTATGACTGAGGAGAAGAGATCGACGACAACTCTATTGCGGAACGTCGCAGAACAACACGGGTATGATAGTACCTCAGATGCCCTTCAAGAGGCACTTAGGGCCGAGCTTACATACAATACCTATAAATCTGTCGATAAATTCTGGGAGGTGAATTTCGAAAATAAAAGCTGGTATGGTCTAACCACTCAAATTTGGGAGAGATATCGCGACAGGGGTCAATGTGGAAATGACTACGTATTCAGTGACAACATGAGTGATCACGCAATGAAAGATTGGTTCGAAGCTTTCTATAGGATATACTTGGAACCATACAAATTCCAACCAACAAATTACAGTGAGCTTCCTACAGCTAGAAACCCCAACGAGTTTGTCCGCGGAAAATTTACTTTTGATTCTACTGCAATTCAGATGGAAGGTAGTCGATGTAATCGGCAAGTGGATGTATACGTTGAGCATTCCGATAACCCTGATGGATGGGGTCATCACTGGAGGGACGTGAGGGTAGTGGGCGAGTTTACGAAGGCGGCAGCCAAAAAGGGGTTTAAATTCCACCAGCTCATGCTGTACGTGCGTGAAGTATTCTACGCGCAGCCATTGCGTCGATTCGTCCACGGATTTGTCTTGCACAAGAAGCACATTGTTTTCTGGATTGTCGACAGGTCAGGAGCGTATAGCTCTAGTGAAATTAACGTGATCAATGACCAAGAAAAGTTGGTCCGGGCCCTTTCGGCATACACGATCATGAGTGACAAAGAGCTTGGCCTTGGCACGACTATCTGCTGTCATAACAGACGCAACTTTGTCAAAATTTGATATGACAATTTGGCGCCAGAAAGATGGGTCGAGATCAACCCTGAGCTAGTAACCCGACCTGAGACTGTACTGCCACGTGGGAATCTCTGCTATCAGACGATGGACATGAAATACTTGATCAAGTTTTCATGGGGATCGGGCGCGGAACAGTCAGAGATCGATTTCTTGAACGCCGCACGAGCGGTAATAGGTGTTGTTGATCTTGAATGGGCCGAGCGCATATATCAGGTTGAGACTCACCGCAAGGGACTAGACTTTTCAACCGGAACAAGGTGGGACATGGGAGTGAAGAATTGGCTTTCCGTCGGCATAGAGCGCGAACCAGCCGAATATTTCAAGAAACGAAGACTCACTCTTGCCGTCATCTCCCCTTACGGTCGACCTTTGAAGACCTGCTCTACGGTCCGGGAGTTCTTAAGCGGCTTGCTTGATGCCATACTTGGGCATCGCGGCTTATATTGTTTTTCCGGTATTCTTCACGGCGATATATCTGAAAGCAATATCATATTGACGATGCCAGATGAATTTGGATTAATTCATGGAAAGCCTATAGACCTAGACATTTCCATGCATGTTGCGGGATATAATGAGGCGAAAAGTCTAGCTGGTACCATGAAATACATGGCAATAAAGGTTTTGCAAAATATTGCTCTAAAATCCGGAACAATGACGAAGACCTACCGTCACGATCTCGAGTCGTTTTTTTACGTCTTTCTCGTGGGATGTGTCTGTTACGGACGTGATCCGGCAGCGTACAAAACTCACTTCAACAATTGGTGCTCACCTGGCCCGCTTTCAAATCAAGGTGCGAAGATGGCAGACATTGGGCTCAATTTTCAGCTTAGAATCATTGACCAGCTTTCGCCTTGCTTTAATGGAATCAAAGAATTTGCATTAGAGTTGCGTCGAATATTATTTGGAATAAATTGTAATTTTTATGACACACCCAGAGACAGCTCAATACTCTACGACCTCATAATCACTGCTTTCCTTAATACCATTAAAAAAATTGACGGTAAGTTTTTTTACCTATTCTTATCAAACTTCTATTCTTTAACTCGAGACTTGCTGAAGAAACCTTTCTTTTGCTGTAGATGAAATCATCAGAAACGAGAATATCACACCAATAAGATGAAGAAAAAGACAGAGCGAACAGAACGGAGGTATTTGAGGGAGGCTTCAGTAGCGTAGCATTATCAGGCAGTTTACAGTGTAATTTTTAATTCATTATTTATATATCATAAAATAGCATTAGAAGAAACATTTAACAGAACTGGAAAGCCGAATAATTTTATTTTACGACATTCATAACGTATTCAAGTGTGGATAAAACACAATTACTTTCTGTGATTTTGCGCAATGGCATTGTCTTTACCGAAAACGTTTGATCACTTTCTTGAAACTCCTGGCTTTCGGAGTTGAGCTTTTCAACATGAAATAATATATCTGTCGGTTGGTAGCATTTTTTGTAAGCGTATGTATAAGGATTTAATGAATTCAGATTACCTTGAAGACATTGACTGGATAGGAATTAATAACTTCTTCCTTGGGAAGACAATCTACCACGTTGTCTCCCTTCTTTTACATGAGAATGGCCCTCACTGTCTATGAGAACGCAAGTTGAATTTATTATCAAAAAATACTCCAATGTAGCTAGAATCTATCACATAGAATCTAGAAGTCCTATATAGTCAAAGACTCAGGCAGGGCTATAAGATAAATCTAATCTAATTCCATCCTTTATATGCTCAGCGTAGACTAGTCTTAACTCCCCCTCTTGGCCACCTGAGAATCATCCTTTCGCCCTGGATCACCTCTTCTCCTTTACCATACTCCCTATCTGATACATACCCCCCTTGATACCTCCTTATGCGCCCCATTCGCATTTCCAGGAACGCTGCTCTGCCACAGCCTAACCTCGAAGACGGGGTGGTCCTAGTGACCAGTCACAATCCGGCGTTCGACAAAGTGCCAAGGACGTTTCTTTCTTCCGCATACGCATTTGTAGTTTTCGAATTCGTTGCCAAACCTTTCATGGTATTTTATGAACTCGCCGTGTCCCGTCCTGGCTGCGATATGGTGGTAATGCGCCCACCTCGGAAGTGCTAGCTCCGGTGGACTTTTTCGTTTCATCTGGAGATCCAATTCTTCGTAGTGGCTCGGTCTGTGATCTTACCACCAGGATTCCACTACTTCTTCACATCTTTGCCTGATAAAGCGAGTGAGGGCTACGAATGTGTACTTAGGTCTGACCCTCAATTCTGAGGGGGATGTGGCCGTTTCATCTGGTGGGTTCCCGAGGGCTTACTTAGCCAGTATGTCCGCATCTTCATTCCCCATGATCCCAGAGTGGGCTGGTATGCATCGGATTTTGTCAGGTAACTGGGAGCCTGACCTGTGACAGGCTAAGTGTATGTAATTAAAGTAAAAGATAGCTCAGTAAAAACAACTTGATTCCTATCTTTCCCGGAATTCTAGGACTACATACACTGATCATGATTGGCTTGATCTCTTGATCTCTAGATATAGTCCTAGAATTCCGGGAAAGATAGGAATCAAGTTGTTTTTACTGAGCTATCTTTTACTTTAATTACATACACTTAGCCTGTCACAGGTCAGGCTCCCAGTTACCTGACAGTTACGAGCCCGGTTTTTTCGCACAATACATCATTGAAGTTTATATCTGAATCATACTTGCTTAATCATTTTTCTCTTTAGCTTTACACATCAGGAATCCTATATCAACAATAAAAATGGCTTCGTTCAAGTCTGGTTCGTTAACAAGGGAGACATATCTCGAATGGATAGACATGGTTGAAGGTTATGCCACCGGCAACGGTATTTGGCAGTTTATCAACCCTGCAAGTAGAATCTAAAATTTCGAGCCCAGGAAACCTATCTTTTCTGACTGTGTTGCAACAACACAAAAATTTGCTGATTTAGAGGACGACGACAAGCTAATGTTTAGAGAAGATAATGCTCAGTACAGAGTTGATATTCAAACATACAAACAAGATTGTAGGCTGATCGGCGAATTGAGAGCAAAAATAGTTGAGTCTCTTTATGTTAATCACCGAAAGCTAGTATTTGGAAACATGACATGCCGTGAAGTTCTCAACCAGATCAAAAATAGGCCAGATCAAAAATAGGCTTGAGCCGGCAGAAGATATCCAACAACTAAGATTAATTGACGACTATGCTAAAGCCCGAATTCCGCCTTCACACAAAAACGTAGACGTTTGGTTAATGGAATGGGAACGCCCAGAAATTATGATAAAAAGATTAAAGGTCACTGACTTCAGTGACTTCAAATTAACCCAAGATTTTCTCACTGGGGCAAACTCACATCTAATGTGGGTGTCAAGCAAAAGAATGGAAATCTTGAAACTCGCAAATAAATTATCCATGAAGTTTTTAGACGTTCTGATCGAATATCGTCAATTTTGGTAGATGAACGAGTTTGACTCGAAAACTGAATTCTCAGCCTTTCCCACCAGTCTGCAGGGTCGAGTACAAAGCTCAGCAGATAATTTGAACATAAATCAGTCAACAAATCGTCAAAACCAAAAACTATATCAGCCAGGTGAACCAAGGCCCTATCTATGTGGAAATACACACCCAGGAGAAGAGTGTTTCTATCTTGCAGAGGGAAAAGCTTCGCACGGATTTGTCAGAAACGAAGATATAGTGATAAAGTTCAAGAAGGCATGCAATCGTCCACCTTTCAGAACATTTGTTAAAAATTCGACTTGGACTGCAAAGTGGATGAGAGACTACGTCCAAGCAACATTTTCAAAAAAGAGTTCAGGCTCTACAAGCAATTCTTGATATCTGAGACATAACTACAACAACAGCGGGAAAATTATTACATCTGTTAAAATAAATACTTTAACCACTATTATCGACCATCTGTTACAGAATGAGATATTTTTAGATAATAGAGCAGATGGAAATATCTGTAATAATCTTGGATTCGCATCTTTGCCTCTGTCGGCACCTCCAAATGACGCATTCGTTCAAGCAGGTGCAGGAATATGTCCAATAATAGGCTATGGTAACATGACATTTGATGCTAACCTTGGAAATGGTAAAAATTTCAAGATGACCATCACAAATGTTGCCTTTGCACCTGAGTTTTTAATATCAGTTATCTCTTGGAAGTTACTCAAGAGAAAAGGTGTGAAATGGAACTCTGAGACTAAAGAGATGAAATATAATGAAAATCTTATCTGTCAGCTCTTGGACCGTCATAATCATGATGATTTCACTCAGCAGCCAGTGTCAGATCTAAATCTCCCGGACCTAGTTCATCAGCCTAATGTAAAACATCATCCATTGATTGGAAATTCCGCAGTTGTGGTCAATTCTAGAGAGCCGCATAAATCAATAGGTTCTATACAACTCTGGCATCAACGACTTGGCCATGCTGGTCCAGATGCGCTGAGTCATATCCAGAGTGAGACTGTCAAATTTGACGCAAGCGGTCCAAAGACTAACGAGTGTCAAACTTGTGCTCTGAACAAGGCAACAAGGATAGTTTCTCGACGACCATCAGACCGTGCAAAGTCACCCTTTGATAAAGTTCATTTTGATCTAGTTTCATACTCCCCTTTAGGATTTGATGGATCTCGATACATGCTGCATCTTACTGGTGATTGTACGAGAATGAATTTTGTCTATCTTTTGTCCAATAAAACTGGACCTAGTTTGTCGAGACATTTTCGAAACTTTGTCGCCTATGTAAAGCGACAATATAACAAGAATATCAAAATTTTTAGGTGTGATCAGGAAAGTGGTCAGGGACTCTCCTTCCAAAGTTGGGTTGATGATTTAGGTATCGAAATTGAGTGGTCTGCAATATCAACAATTGAGCAGAACGGTCAATCTGAACGTTCTGGGGGTATGATATAAACAAAAGCTCGCTGTTTTGGTAATGGGGCCGGCTTAAAATCCGAGTACTGGCCTGAGTACGTTATGACCGCAGCATATTTGATTAATCA